GGGGTCGTCAATAATTGAATACCAAATGCAAAAGTTATTTATATTATTTCATATATTTTTAATAATTATAATTTAATATTAAATGATTGCAGTCATACAGAATGAAAGTGCAATAAAGTGCAACCAAATGCAAATTAAAATTTGAAATCCACAATCCCACTCTTGGTAGGTGTGTGCGTATATTTATTTTTTGTAAAACTGGAGTTGACTGTTATGTTTAGTTCTATTTGAAATTATTATAAATAAAACGGATTTAATAATAAACCTACAATTTATGTTTTCTATACGATGTTTGAAAATAAGGGTCCATTGGTGTCTGAACAAAATGTGAAAATTATAAATTGTATTTTTATATTTAACAAAACTACGATAAAGTCAAAACACGAAGAACATTTGAAATTATGATTTGTTTTTTATGCTTTGTTATTTATTTCTTTATTGAATTTTTTTCTATCTTTAGTTACACCGCTGATACAAAGAAATAATTTAAAAAATACAAGTTATGTGATGTAGTGTTAATTACATATTTGGACCTGAAAACAAATTAGTATTTGTTTAACCCATCAGCTTTTATTACTATCATCATCAATGGTGGATCTAGTATTTTTTTCATAGGTGTGCTATTTCGCTAATAATGTCCCTTATGAATTTGAGACAAAAACTAACTAATAATTTAAGGGCTTTAATTTTTAGGAAAATCAGTTGTATTATGTGCAAGTATTTTATTTACTCTCTAAAAATATATGAGCTCTCTTAACCCTTGGTCCCCTTCATGAATATCCATGATGATATTAAGCAAAAAAATGAATGCTACTCTTTCAACATATTTGTTATATATTATCATATAGACGTGTATCATTAAAAAAAAAAAAAAATTAACAATACAAATATACATATTGCTTACATACATAATTGTATCTAAAAATGATAGATAATTTTATTTTATTTCTTAGTACGTCATTGCAATGCAATTTACATAATTATAATTTAGATTGAACAGTCTTCTAATTGCATTCTTCTTTTTTTTTAGCTAACTCATTAACAATAACTTTAATATCTGCAAGTATATCTTAATGAACATTTACTTATGCTAAACCGTTTAGTCTAAACTTAGTTCACTGTAAAGTGTATGGAATTTTTTAACCTTCTTAGGGTCGAGAATGACCTTTCAGTGATTGCAGTAGAAACTGAAAGACCAGCAAATATTTGTAAGAGGATTTTTATATTTCGGTAAAATCGTTTATTTAATATTTAATTCATTATTCACATTGTTTACACTATTCGTTATATATTAAACGTGGTGTCATCTGATATCAAAGCAATTTATAACACTGTAAAAAAAGTTGAATACGCAGAACGGTGAGTGTCTCAGCCTCCTAGCATCCCCTAAATCTGTAACTGGTCATTATGGTTCATTAAATTTAACATTTTTATGTAACACATGCATAAAAATGTCAATGTATTGAAGAAGTTAACATAATCACATAATATGAATATCTCAGTGTTATTTCAGCTTACGATCCCGTTTGTGTGTCTAAAAGTTAACTTATTACTGTCTTTTATATCCTACGGGAATTCATACAGGTGAAAATGTATTCACTAGAAATGGATTTGAATGTTTTTGATTAAAATTTAAAAATATACCTTTAAGAATATATATTCAAGAGAAAATTTAAATTAGTTCTTGGGAGCGTTTAAATTGTTGAAGCCATTAGAACACGCGTATAAATACACACGCGCGTACTGGTTGACACTCGTAGGGCGAGTGTGTCGTATTTGATATATATTTTAATGCAAATTACTATGTATTTTATGGTTCATATTATGTTTAATAAATATTATACCTATAAATGCACAAAATAGTGTATCTAAGATGTAACTAATTGGGTTTTAGCGTGTTATTATTAAACAAACATAACAATGAATATACTACACTACTTGATTTTATACTTTTATTTGATTATAGCGATGACGTAAGGTACAAATCTACTTACCTAATTATCATAATTTTTGTTACTTTTGTAATTATTTTGATTTCTGAACATATCTTTGATCGAGTTAAAACAAAATAAAGTGAATCACCATTAAAGTAAAAATAGCGGATTCTAATTAACGATTCACTCGTCGATACATTATAAATATTTAATCATCAATATTGATTTATTATAGTTGAAGCGATATTTTTGTACATTGTTCAAAATTGAAAAATAATGATTAAGTTTATGTTAACTTATAGACACAAAATATATATCATCGATATTTATCAAATGTATTACATGTATTAATTACTCAGTTTTAATTTATATACTATTAGAGAAAAGTTAAAATAATTTATTTTGACACATCGTATAAGTTAATAAGTATTTTATAGCTTGTATGTATAATATCTATAAATTGATTTTTTCATTACAATGCTAATCATGTACCTACTTTTATAAGATACAAAAATATATAATACAAGTTTTTTAAGAACAATTTCATAATTTATTTCATTTTCTATAATTAAAACACTTTTTAATCATCTATTGCATTCGTAAAACTTGTAGTTACAATATTGACTAAAATAGTTATTTATAAAGTTTTATTTTAAATATATTTTAACACCTTAATCAATTAAGTTCCATCTAATATAATAAATAACTAATTTAACAAAAATAAATAATTTTGACTTCCAAATTTAGAAATAAAACTCTATAATACATCTAGATGAAGAATACACCTAATCTTAAATATTCTTATCCAACCTATTTTTTCTTCTTCTTATAATCATACGATATGTATAATTGAATCGTAAGATTTAATTAAATGAGCGTTTTCAAAGTTTCTTGAGAGTATATAATATGAATCTTAAGACACGCATTTAAATTTCCGTAATGTAAAGGGTAAAATTAACACAAAACTTTCGAACGAGATTCGAAACTAAACAACAGACTTAGGATTAACTATAAAATGAACTTTCAATGTCACTATAAAATAAACCGATATTATTATTTAAGTGCATTAACTGCGATCATTTCTAAGATTTTGAGGCGGAAATAAATAGATCAATTAAAAACATATTGAATTATTTTGCAATTTTTCCATATTTGTATGCTTTTATCACATTTAGTATTTATTTCTCAAATTCTTATATTTGTATCTTACTTATTATAATCACTGTCTTTATTTTCGTGTAGACTTTCGACCGTTCAAACACCACAAATATTTCACGATATAATTATTAGTTTTTGAAACTTTTATCACTAAGTATCAATTGTCCAAGCCGCAGAAGTTATTTAGCGTATATGTCACTAAATTACATAAAATAAAAAAATAAAAAAATTGATTTATATACAATTTTAATCGATAACTGTATTAATTGAAAACAATTATTTGTGATAAATAATAATCACCACTTATTATTAGTTACTTAATAATGATGGACTGGGTATGGTCACCGATCATCAAGCAGTGTTGACAAAAGTTTACCAATTCAAGATTTATTCACGTGTTATTATGAGTTATGCATTTGTAAATAATGTAACAAAAAATAAAAAATAAAAAAACAATAATAATAATAGTGATAATAAAAATAAGAATATATTTATTTATACATTTAACGTACAACGAGATAACGATAACGGCCGCAGAATTCGCAACCTATAGCCTGCAGCACTTTCATACGGAGAGAAAAACTATTTATTATGTTCCATTTAAGTATATTACAATATTGTTAAAAGCTGTTTAAAAAATAATATATTTTACTATTGAACACAAATATGATGGGTTGATATTATTTTAATATAATTAATAATAGAAATGTAATCTATTAATATTTTTATATATTTAATAATTAATAATTATCATTAATGTCATTCGTCATAAAAAATACACCAAAGGGGGGCCTTAGAACAATATATTTGTTGAACATTTATATCAGTGAACATAATGCAATATGACGCCTGACATTTTTTTACTTGATTATTGACTTTTAGAAATACTGTTTATCTATGAAATTTAAATTTAGTTATATATGTCTCTTAGGAAGTTTTTTGAACAGTTAGTCTAAAAGAAGTTTATAAACGTACCATATAATACCAACATCATAATCGAATGGTTGCATTCAATACATGGTGTACTGTCTAGTTTATACTCTTTATATATAGCTTGCTATTAGTTACTCATTTATAAAGTAATTAAAATATAGATAAAAAGTGTTAATATTTTATTATAAGTAATTATGATTTTTATTCTTATCGCTTTAAACTTGAATAATAACTTCAATCGCAATTCAAAATAGCTCTTAATATTAGTAAAAGTTTAAACTATGCATGTACTCAAGTAAATTATAGAAATTCGAATGTTATTACAAACTTTAAAATAATACATATTGGAATAAAGATAATAAGATAAAGAAATAATATAAGTTGTTGATAATGCTTAGGTGTCGGTTTTGATTTGCGTGTGCAAATTTATTCAAATAAAAATATTAATAATATTTCAGTTTAATACAAATTGTAGATATTTGAATAAAATGCGATATGTTATTCGGGCTTTCATTTGTACCACGTATTATGAGTGCTAAAAATTACGTGTACTTGCACAGGCCATTCGAACAGCATCATTTGAACGAGAAAATATAAATTTTATCTCTCTAATCGTTACATTTTTTTATTATTTTTACGGCGCAGTGAAAAACATGCCTGTACTTAAACTCGTACGCCAATCAAATACAGATGGTGATAAAATACACACAGATATAACATCCCATGGTTTATATGCGTTTTGGATGACACACCCTCTAAAACTTCTATACACGTTCAAAGGACGAGTATCTCTATAAAAATAAAAAAATACATACGTGCACGTGAAATTAAAGATGTCAACCGTAAAAATCTAGAGTTTGACGCCGTATTACCCATGGGAATAAAATCGATGAAAGCACTTGTTAGATAAAATAAAAGTACGTCAAGGTCTTAAAAAAAAAAAAAAAATATGAATATGTTATTTTTTGTTCACAGATGACGTTGACGTGGATGATAGAATGCAGAATCTTGCCGACAAGACACAATGCCACGTAACCATGAAGACTATGCCATATATGATCCATGTACTGCTGATATTGATATTGATAACCGTAATCAACAATTGTACGTTAAATTTAATTGATTTTAATTTAATAATATTATTTATCTTCTGTAATATTCATGCAAATGTTTCCATTAAATGTTGTATGAGTGTCGAAACATAGATATTAGTATACAAGTGAAAACATCTTATTTGGCTTATAGTTATATTCATGTTGATCATTGGTTTTTTTTATAGCTGTAGTATTTTCTGTAGTCGCTTGAAAATAAAAATTATTACTGTTTAAATATGAACAGAACAAGTGAATATTCGGTTTATTAAAGTTGATTCGAGTTTAAGTATAAACTTCTATTTATTTATTTTTTTATGCCATTTATAGAGTCGTTTAACTTTCTTCTTCAATTCAAATTTAATATAATACTTTTGAATGTTTTAGTTAATAAACATACATTTTTCCGTTTACCCTTCGGGGTTAGAAAAAATATTAAATTTTTTTGAATTACATTTTAAGCTTTTGAATTAGCTTTCATGACTTCTTTACATAAATCACGATCCCAGTTACATAATTAATTGCATTTGTGGGCAAAAACAATTCGTTCTTTGGAATGATATCCATTGTTATTTAAGCTTATAAATGTCTGAATTCAAAACAAACACGGTACTGTACTCTTATGGATATTTAATTTTTTTCCTCAAAAATGATCGGTAATGTGTCTGAATCCAATCATTATTTCAATTATAACCATTAACGTATTACAATAATATGGGAATTTTAAGCTTTATTTTATGCAACCCTTAATTTTTTTTATTTTTTTTTGAATAATTGCCTATCATTAACATTCAAAGTTAAGCGTTATCATTTTACGTAATAATAAATAAAATTGATTTAAGAATACTGTAACGAAATACGACTAGGTCGCGAATTCATTGCGCAGTTGAAAGTGCAGTATAGCCGGTCGACGAACGTTCTAGATTCGGTTACCAATAATAGTTTTGAAAACGTTGTTTGCTGCTGCTAACAATAATTTATATGTATTACATATATCTCGTTCCGGAAGATGGCGGGGACGATTCGCGGTTAGTTACACCGGGTAGTAATAACTTTTCCATTTCCTCGGTTCTTCCAATTTCTGAAACCATTATTGCGAAACAACCGCCCTCATATTTGTTGCCGGCTGCCATACGGCCTGTTCTATTCTTGTGAATTGAAATCCGACCGGTAAATTTTCCATTAGATATGCATTACACTACCACCACAGTAACGGGCATCCCGGTTGAATATTTTATCAGTCGACCGATATAGCCCAAGATAAATAGTGGAGAAAGAAAGATAAAAGAAACGTGAGCAAAAATTACGCGACTGAAAAAGCATGAAAAATATTTAGCGTAAGATTTTTTTTTTTCATCACATTTCACATTTAAAAAATAAAAAAATAAAAAGAGAAAAATCTTTTTAATCTTATATACAAGTATAGCTTACCGATGAAGAACTGCTTATACTACCTTAAATTTGTACTACTGAAATATTTAGATAAAAGATTTGTACAAATGCTATCGTTTATAATGAAAATAATCCTCTCAGTCTTGTCTACTTTCGAAACCCTTCTATGATTATATAATATTTTATTTCTTGTCAGAAAAAGTCAACAAACACAACATTCAACGAAAGTCAATTTTTTTTTGGATTATGATTTTCTATCGGATGTATTTACTAGTTTAAAAATGGCTCGTTCTAATATATGACTACGAGAGCAGTCAACTAAAAAATAGTAAAATAGTGAAAATTATTTTCAATTAAAACAAACCTATTATTTGTAAATTAATAATAATCGCAGTAAAGTTAATGCTAACAATAATATATTCTATGTGGATTCGTTGAAGAAAGTCCAAACTTTAAATAAAAAGTTCAGTTTTGATGTTTTATGATTAGTTAACTGTAATCTAATTACATTTTTTTTCATTTCGCTTAGTTTTTCATCAGTTTTAATTATTTACACTTTTGTACAACTTTTTTATCATAGTGCGACTGTAACCAATTAAAGTAAAGATCAGAATTGCATGTATGGGACGAATGTTGGAAGGTTTGGCTGGTCCCTAAATTTGAATATCAGAAAACCAGATGCGTTTTGTTATTGAATTATAAATTAATAATTTTACATATATTCTTTATCATTAACAATAATATAAATAAAAATAATTTTTAATTAGGTAGTTAAAAAACATAAAATATTACATTGAAAATTATGTATCACGATTAGGAGTTGTCGTAGATTATATCATCGATAAATATAAATATAAATCTATATTAAATATTTAATGAGCTTTTGACGTTTTAATGTTTTCAAAAAATATATGAAAGTTAGCGAATTCAACGGGATATTTTAATCCTATGAACATTTAAAAATTGCTCAAACGAGTGTAAATAATTTTATTTTCTGATATTTTGATGTTCTTCGAACATTTAAATATAAAAATATAGATTTTTTTTATATGATTTCTTCTTTTTTATATTATTGTTTTATTTATCCTGTGCCTCTACACAAGATTTTCTCATCGAGGCCCAGTAATCATTTGATATTAATTTAAATAAAAAAAAAAAAATTGTTTGTGAAAATAAATTAGGTCGAGTACCTACCATAAAAAACGCATACTACACGTATAAGTGTTGTTGAGATTTTCAAAACAGCTGTATGTGTAATGCTTGAAAATTTCTACATAGCAAATTTTTGAATTATCTGTAATTTAAAAATATAATTAATTACTTTTTTGTCTGGTTGACACCTTAAATTACATGTATTAAACATAGTTGAGTGATCGCAAAAATAATAATTAATACACAAAACTTACAAAATTTGAACTATTCTTTAATCTTCGAATTCAAAATATTCAGTAGTAGTTAGCTGAAATAATATAAAATTTATTTGGATTTCAACGCAAGCCTTATTACGAAATATTGTAAAAGCTTTACTAACTATGATCATGCTTTATTGCTATTAATTGGTGTTTTTGAAAAAAAATTAATCCCTGGTACTTCAAAGAAAAGCTTACTTGCATTAAATGAAAACGTTTAGTTTTTTTTATTAGAACTAATTTTATAGTAAAATTATATTATAATAGGATACTAGAAATATAAACTATCCGCAATAATTTGTTTCTTGTAGTTTGATATTAATATAAGGTTGTTTACAAAGCTTAAGAATACATCATTTAGATTTTCACAAATATAATACATTTGATTATTAAAAAATACAGAACCATATTAGAATACAAAATATCATATTTTTTTTTTATAAAGATTGGAAATAAATATTAGAATATGGAATGAAAATGTATAAAAAATCAATTATAATATTATCGATTACACAAATTGTAATTCATAATTATATAATTTATATATACATAATAGTTAAATAAGACTATGTACTTTCAATACATTTAATTTAATTCTAAACTATCACATTTATGATCACAGTTAAATGAATTGCTGTAACTATTGTTTCGAACAATATGACTAACAAAACAATTTTCGCTTTGGAGGTGGTATAAATGAAAAATATTTCATAACGATAAGGTTTTGACAAAGTTTGTTTGGCACAGATGAAGTAAAAAAGCTGGACTATAGATTAAAACTGTATCTCTTTAAGAAAACATGAGACTTTTGATTGAAATTAAATTCTTTGGCTTAAACATATAAGCTAACTTAATGACAAAGTAATAAATATGGATTAATTTTCATTTTACGAACAAAAAAAAAAAAAAAATGTATTTCTTAATAATAGATACATAAAATATAATATTAATCAGTGAGTCCAGTTCAACGATTACCTAATGGGATTACTACATGATAATATGAATTTAAATTGAATAATAAACGGAAATAAACATCATAAATTAATAAACGTATACGATAAAATTTTCATTTTCGTTTTAAATCTATTATAGATCTCCTCATAGTCTCTTCAAATATAAGTATTCAATCAAAATCTCAGCCAGAAAAACGAATATACTCAAACAATTTAAGTCCAAAAGATTTCAATATATTTCCAATCAGTAAACTTTGAGTCTACGAAAACTTTACAATCTTAATTTCAAGTTTTGCTCGTATATTACCATTGTAAATTTTACTATTTTACGTGGCCCGCATCTGTGGAAGCCGCCACCCCGAACCATTTATGCGTGTAAGTTCGCTGTTCGGACAGGCGTATTCTGAAATTATTCCACCTACCATTGTAAATACGTTCCTATTATCTACAACGTTTGGTCCGATGCAAATTTATATTAGGTATGTAGTTTCGTCATAAAACTGCATAGGCATGTATTTCAGGCAGTGTCTACAATACTTTTGGGCTTTATACTAACAAAATGTTTAGGTATACTTAATAAATTATAATGTATAAATAGTTAAATAAACATAACTTTTATTTTTTATTTAATATGTTGGTATATTAGTCCCGATGAATATGTTTTCCTTGAATCCTGTATATTTTTCTCAGATAACTTTAATTACTTATGATTTGTACTTTTGTAGTCATTTGCAACTGATATATCAGAGATGGACAACTTAATGTAACTAGAGGACCAAGTTATATAAATTTAAAAATCTGATGAACTAGATTAGGAAAAAAATAAAAATAAAAAAAAGTTCATTAATATTGGCAATTAGTATTTGTTTTAAATAATTTAATTTTGTAACTGAACCAATACAATGATATAAGCGCTTAATACCAATACCTATGTTAGCTATGCCGATATAGATATATATTATATTTAAATAATTCATGATTAAGCTGGAGTACAATGTAAGATAAAAATATAATATCTATATTTTACAATTAACGTGATAAAATGAAATACTGATAAATGATAAAATGTCATGAATTAATCTGAAAATGTAGCATGGGCCAAATAAAAAAAGTACATTTGGTGCCAGTTACCCATCCATATATTAAACGATTGTAATGAATTTTTACATGAAAATGTAAAAAAAATTGTTTTATTTCTATTTCTATTATAAAACATCGGTATACTGTCATTACATTGCGCGATAATTCGACGCAATCAT